TATGATTTAATATATTCCATTTTAGCATTTATATTCCAACCTTATCTGACATGTCTCCTGTTTTTTTAGAGCAGTTTTATTCTTTGTTTTATTGAAATACGATTATATTAATAGGTGAGTTTTGCATTTATATGCTTACAATATTCTTTCCTTGTGTTCATTTGTGTGTTTATAGATATTTTGTGATATAAAATAAAACATCAAGATGGCCATGCCGCCATCGCCATGCCGCCATAGCTGGGCATTGCAAACGAAATAAAATTTTTAATCTGTCTCAATCCTAGCTAAAATATGAACCATCTGCTTTTGTGTACGTTCCCAATGCGAAGAACCTGATTTGTGTGTTTCTTGATATTTTGTGAATTCTTGTTCATTTGTGTGTTTATAGATATTTTGACATAAAATAAAACATCAACATGGCCATGCCCATGCCGCCATGGCTGGGCATTGCGAACAATATAAAATTTTTAATCTGTCTCAATCCTAGCTAAAATATGACTATCTGTGCTTCTGTATACGTTCCCAATGCGAAGTACCTGATTTGTGACCATTTGTGTATTTCAGCTTTCTTGATATTTTGTGAATTGTCGGTATATTTTGGGTTGTGCTGCCTGTAAAATAAAGCATGCATGCATGGGCAAATGGCGATATAAAAATTTAATCTCTCTCAATCCTAGCTAAAAATTGATCATCTAGGCTTCTGTGTATGTTTCCAATGTTATTATACTTATCTACTTTCTTCCACTGACAAGTAAAATTGTCTGGTGTTAGACTCGAGTAAATACTAAAGAAGGATGCATTTCGGCATATTGCTAATGGGGTACAAAGAAGTCTCCTAATCATAACACAAGCAGTTTAACTGGATTATACATTCTTGCAATGCTTATTTGTGCTACATTTATAATTTATTTTCCTGCTTGAAAATGTATAAAGTTAACACTACCGTATTTACTTGTGTTAAATTGATTTTGTATGTTCATATCCGACAAAGCTGTTTGAAACTCATTAAAGTTATGTTCTGAACAATTCAACATCACATTTTACTGATTTCTATCCCCTATTCTTCAGTATTTAGTCCTTGAATTTTCTGATACATGGCCTTGAATGTCCTTGAAAAGTCCTTGAATTTGACTTTTCCTCACATGTGCGAACCCTGTAAACAATGCAAAAACTTTCCGTCCGTCAAAATGGGGACATTTAGTGACAAAGACATCTAAAACTTGTTTATTTTATTGTTAAAAGTTCTTATAATTTACAAATAAAAGATTTTTTAAAGAGCGCCGCCCCCGAATGAGGGCTGCATGGCGCATCTGAAGCTCTGAAAATTTAAAGAGCGCCGCAGCACTCAAATGAGTAAATATGGGGGCGGTATACTTCTTTATAAATCCACTATTTTGATAGAAAAACGTAAAGAAAGCTTATGTAAACAAATAAAAGGACTGGACATGCAGTGTCTTACTGTCTTTATTATTAAAAATGTTTACCATAATTATTTCTATATAGAATTATCCTTTTGTTTTTTAGATATTTTGTGCAATATCGATACCACTAGGTGAGTTTCTGTCATATTTTGAAACTACCATTCTGTGATTGAGTATCAAGACATTCATGATTCTTAATTATAGACAAAAAACATTGCTGTCAGGGTGGTTCACTGACTTGTGTTTGTAGTCAGTTTGTTTTGGTGTATAATAACTACGCCTCGTTTTAATACATGTGTTGTTGTGTTTATTTTAAACACTCGTTTTTACAATTCAAGTTTACCCAGTTTTATAAAGGTTTATTTCATGTTTTGATACTGTGAATAGTGAATACTGTACATGCAATTCAGTATTTTGATATTTTATTTATTCTAGACATTTGCATTTGTTGAACAGTTGAAGCCAATATTCTGCATTTGTTGAAGACAGTGAAAGGAATAAACTCTGTGAGTAGTGATTGTATCATTATTGAATAATTATATACACTGTTCATGTTGTCAGTATGGACAAAAAGTTGACAGAGGGTTTTAGGTTCATTCCTCTGGCAAGGGTGGGTAGTAGCGAAGTAGTTGTAGTTCGCTACTGTAGTGAACTACAATTTTCAAGTAGCCAGTAGTTTTTGACTACTTTTTCAAAACAGTAGCTGTAGTTATAGCGAACTACATTTTGCCTAAAAGTAGCCAAGTAGTTGACTACTTTTCAAACAGCAAATCGCTATTTGCTACTTTTTAAAGTTGTTAGCAACTTGATAGAATAGAATTTTATTAGGACACAGTTTGCTTAAAATCAATGCTCAATTTGCATGAATAAAGTATGCCGTGCAACTGTTCAAACTGTGCAAGTGCATGCCGCCTTATTTACTCGCGTAAGTCGATTTGTTATAGGTTACATTACAGCCTGAGCTATAGTGGATGTTCCATATACAGCAAAATTAAAAAATATTGAGTAGCGAAATAGCGAAATAGTTCGCTACATTTTTTAAGCAGTAGCTGTAGTCAGTAGCGAACTACTTTTGTTCAAATGTAGCAGTAGTTGTAGCTGACTACATATTTTTGAAGTAGCTGTAGTTATAGCGAACTACAAAAAATTTGTAGTCAACCCACCCTTGTCCTCTGGACAGATGTTCACAAGCATTCATGTGTAAAACTATAAATTTACCTTTGATATGTGAACACAACTCTGCAGGGTTCACAAAAAGCCTAGATCAGCCTTCTAAACTGTATAGTTTAAATGGCAGTGGTGTCAAGTAACAAAGTAAATGTACTTCGTTACTGTACTTGAGTACTATTTTTGAGAAGTGAGCATGTAACAAAGTAAACTTTTTCTGGAGTACTTTTACTTGGAACGAAGTCGTTTTAAGAAGTAACGTTTTACTTCGTTATTTTCATTTTGTGGCGAAGTATTTCGTTACTTTCTAACTTTTGTTGATTTTACGTGATTTATTTCTGATTTATTTTAATTTCGGGATAGGTAATACGACCTCTACATCTCTCGTTTGTGACTTACTTATATATAAGCATTATTTATTTAATGGATTTCTTATATCTGCAACGGGGTCTGCAAAGTAGACCATGCCGTGAAATATTGTATATTCGGTGCACGCATATAATGTGTGTGCTGTTTTGTGTCTTTTGTATGTCAATCCATTGGAGAAGTCCCCCTCCCCCTCTACAAGCTACAGACAATAGTACTTTTACTTTTACTTTGTACTTCAAGTATTTTTTAAGGATACTTTGTACTTTTTACTTAAGTACGTTTTGCTTCCAGTACTTTTTACTCTTACTCAAGTCGTTTTATTGTTAATTACTTCTAGTTTTACTCGAGTACAAATTCAAAGTAATTTAGGCACCACTGTTAAATGGTGATGGGAATTGTCTGTTTTGTGCCTTTTCTTACATTGTAACAGGTAGACAAATGTATTACAACATTATTCGCCATAAACTACTGCAGCATATGGCAGATATTGAAAACTTATTGGTGCCACATATGAATATGTCTTTGAGTTCATATGTTGAACACAGTAACATGATAAATAATGGTGTATGGGGTAGTGACATTGAGATTTTTGCTGCATCGTCAATGCTTAGTACTGATATTTATGTTTACACTAAAATGGGTTGAACGGTTTACATGGAAAAAAATTTTCTAGGTCAATGTTGGATGGCTCTTCCCCTAAAAATAAATGTGCAATTTATTTACAGCATACGAATGGAGTGCATTATGATGTTGTACTTGATGTGTGTACTACCATGCATGGCGGAACCCCCAAAAATGAATCTCGTTCTCAGAGAAAAAGTGAAGGCTGTTCAAAAGTCAAACATGATTGTTTTTCACAAAATAAACCTTCTTGCAAGATAAAAATTTCAGAAAATAAAACCGTTAAGACTAATGTGTGCAATGGCACTGCTAAAAACAAAAACCCATTTGATACAATTATTAAAACCACTGTCCCTCAGAAATCAAATACCAACAAAAAAGGTCCATCTCATTTTTCAATCAAAAAACAGGAGTTTAACATGGATTCTGAAAAGACTGAACCACTTGGGGTGTGCCAAAATAGTCAACCTGTTATTTCTATTCATGCTGAGGAGAATAATGCTAAATTTCATAAATCCATTCAGTTTGCTATTTATCATTGTGTAATATGTCACAAAGCATGGCCTTTGAATGCAAAATCAAAACCTTCATCCAACTATACTTGCGGTAGATGTTCCAGGGCCTTTTTTAACATACAAGCTGGGGGGCAAATGCCCCCCCAGTCCCCCCTTGTGCCCCCCCACGAAAAGTCCCTTTTTCCTAAAATTATACAAACAAACCAGCGAAGAATAACAAGTAGATAAACGGAAAGTAAGTTTTAGGCTTTATCCTTTGTACTTGTTTAACAAAATCGATTTAAATTGTTACGTTTTTCTACCACTTTTCTTTTTCTACCTTTTTCCTTCTTTTATTTCAAATACAAGTATAGTTAGCATAAATTTTAGAGCAAATTTGGATGCTCAGAATGCAGGAAATGGCATTTCCATGCTTCAAATTTCATAAATTTTCTGGAGGAGTACACCCCCACACACGTGACCATTGCTATCCTCCTCTAATAAGTAATGATAAATTATGGTTAATATTTTTTTTTACTTTTTGTGTGTTTTTTCCTTCTTTTATTTCAAATACAAGTATAGTTAGCTAAATTTTGGAGCAAATTTGGATGCTCAGAATGCAGGAAATGGCATTTCCGTGCTTCAAATTTCAAAAAGTTTCTGGGGGAGTACACCCCCAGACCCCCCCCCCCATTCATGTGTGGTATGTTGGCCACACACATGGCCTTCAGCATTGCTATCCCCCTGTAATATATTATCTCACAGAAAGGTCCCTTTTCAAAAAATGCCCCCCCCCATGGGAAAATCCTTAAAAAAGGCCCTGAGATGTTCTCGAGATAAAAAGGTTCCACAAAAGTTTTCAGCACAAAATTTTATGATACCATCTTCTGTGCCTGCTGAGTTGCAAAATTTAACCCAAATTGAAGAAATGCTTCTTGCCCGTGCACTGCCTATTATGAAAGTTTTTACCAATGTTGGGGGTCAGAGGGGCTATAGTGATCATTGTATTAACTTGCCACAAAAGGTTGAGGAATTAGCTCAATCTTTGCCCAGGTGTCCAAAAGATATCCCAATGATTATTGTGACAATGAAAGGAAATGATAATAATTTTAGAGATGTGGTTGTTAGAAAGCATAAGGTTGAAAAAGCCTTGTTTTGGCTGATTGAACATAACCCATTATATCATGATATTTGTATTGATAGGAATACACTTGACAAATTGCCTTGTAATGGTGTGCCCAATGACTTGAGTCTGATAGAAACACCACCTAACGAATTAAACAATATTAATGAAACAATAAAATCTGCTGATGTAAATAAGGATAATGATCTAGAGCAAGTTTTCAATCATGAAACACCAACCAGTAGTTTTTTACCTGTAAGTATAAATGATCAGCTAGAGAATGATGCTATAAAAACATGTCTGGGTAATGCAAAGATAAAATGGCCATCAATCAGCAATGACCCATTAAACGAATATACTACACCATTTCTGGCAACAATGGCCTTTCCTGCATTGTTTCCTGACAGTAAAGGTGACCCAACCAATCCAAGTTTATTATATGAGATTACGTTTTTAAGTAAGGTACAACATCTTATAAAGTTTGCAGAGAATATTGAAGGTAAATGGATATACAGGTTTGCATCCCACCCAAGATTTTCTTATTGGGCACTCAATATGATTCAAAGACAACGAACTTTACAGCAATCTGCAATTTTTCTTAAGCAAAATCCTGCTGAGGCCCACCTTACAATTAATGAGCTGCGAGACATGGCAGATGCTAACAATTCTTCCACTTTTATGTCAAAACTCTCGAGATATGTTAGTAATATCACTGGTAGTCCTTCTTATTGGTTCAAAGTTCGAGAAGATTTGAAAGCAATTATTACTCACAAGGAAGCTCCAACAATATTTTTCACATTTTCAGCAGCAGACGTGTGTTGGCCTGAACTTCATTCACTTTTTCAATTACATTCTCAAGATTTATCCTCAAATGAAAAAAGGGAAAATGTAATAGATAACCCTCATATTGTAGATTGGTATTTTACCAAACGCATAGAAAAATTTCTTAAGTATTGGTTATGTGATACTCTTGGTGCAGAGTGGCATTGGTATCGATACGAATTCCAAGCTAGGGGCAGTATGCACTGCCATGGCATGGCAAAATTAAAAAGTGATCCAGGACTTTGCAAACTTACTGAGATAGCATTAAAAGGGTATTTGGCTGAAAAATGTGAGCAGGATTTAGATAATTCAAGTGTTTCATTTGACATAGAGCAAGGTAAAAAAGCATCCCAACAAGTGTGTGACTATCATGATAAATTAATCTCTACTTGGAGCCCAGAATTACCTCAAGATGGGAATTGGCAGAATCTTCAAATTCATCCATGCAGCAGACAATCCAGTGATATTTCTGAAAATGAATCTCAGTCTGATATACTGACCTGCTCAACACAGTTCAGAGACACACTCGCTGCAGCACAAAGTATTGTCTTAGGCACGTAAAGGGTTCTACTGATCTTCAATGTTGCTTCAACTACCCATTTGATTGTTGTGAGAAAACACAATTACTGTTTGAACAAATACATACCAGAGATAACACTCCTCATTATAAAGCGAAAGTAATTACTAAAAGGAATGATCCAAGATTAAATAATCATCAGAAAACACAACTACAAGGTTGGAGAGCTAACTGTGACATACAAGTGATAATTGATCATCATGCTTGTGTGGAGTACCTCACTAAATATGCAGCCAAGGGTGAACCTAGGTCATCAGTGCTTGATGCGTTCAATGGAGTTATTGGTAGTAATAATGATCTTGATTCTGAGAAAGCTGTCAAAAAGATTATGATAAAAACACTAGGACAGAGAGATTTTGGTGCTCAAGACACAATGCATTTATTGTTATCACTTAAATTGTACAGTTCCACTTTCCATATATTACCTGTCAATTTGAATGGTTCACGTAGAATTGAAACCAAAACAAGTGAGTCACAATACTGTACTAAAGATTCTTTATTAGATGTGTATGCAAAACGAAAAAATACCAAGAGTCCCATCTTAAAATTCTTGATATAAATTTGCTTGATTTTGTTAGACAGTTTAAGGTTGTTAATCATAAACTTCAAAATCAGAACCAAAATGTTGTGCCAAGGGTTTTTCCAAATTACTCTCCCAATCCTAGAGGTAAAAATTACAGCCTTCCCTTACCAAACTGACAGATATGTGACAGATATATGTCACAGTTCTGTAAAATATCTGCAAAATATATGTTCGAAAGTATCTGCCACATATCTGCAACATATAGGAATTTGGCCCCATAACATATCTGTCACAGTTATGTGACAGATATCTGTCACAGTTATGTGACAGATATCTGTCACAGTTATGTGGCAGATATCTGTCACAGTTATATGACAGATATCTGTCACATATCTGCAACATATAGGAATTTGGTCCAATAACATATCTGTCACAGTTATGTGACAGTATAGTTTCCCTGCAGATAAAAGTATCTGTATATTATCTACCAAACAGGTATGTCACATAACTGCCACCAAGTGAGATTTATCTCTTGCATAAAACTATTTCCTTTTACTTCTGCAACATCACGTTGCTGCAACTGTACCTCTGTCATGTTCACTTGAAGCCATAAATAATTTAATACGAAGAAATATTAGATCAGAATAGTAAATGTATTTATTAGTAAATATATAATTATGATAGGTTACACATATAGATAA